AATGGTGGCTTTGGTGGCATACCCAACTCCAATGGTGGCTTTGGTGGCAGAAATGGCATTACCTTTGGTAGTGCACCCAACACCTCTGCCAACTTCAGCAGTGCAGCGAGCATTAGCTTTGGTGACACATCCAACAGTAGCACTAGTTTCAGTGGTGGAGCCAGCATTAGCTTCAGTGGTACACCCAGTACTAGTGCCACTTTCTGCAACACAGCAAGCATTAGCTTTGGCAGCGCATCCAGCACCAGCACTAGTTTCAGCAGTGGAGCCAGCATCAGCTTTGGTGGTGCACCTAACACTAGTACTAGTTTCAGCAGCACAGCCACCATTAGCTTTGGTGGTGCACCCAGCACTAACACTAGTTTCAGCAGCACAGCCAGCATTAGCTTTGGTGGTGCACCCAGCATTAGCAGTAGTTTCAGTGGTGGATCCAGCATTAGCTTTGGTGGTTCTCCTTCCACCAGTACCAGTTTCAGTGGTGGAGCCAGTATTAGTTTTGGTGGTGCACCTTGTACCAGTGCCAGTTTCAATGGCTTTGGAGGCACACTTAGCAGTACCGCAGCTGGCTTTAGTGGTGCACTCAGCACAAGCACCAACTTTGGCAGTGCACCTACCACAAGCACTGTCTTCAGTGGTGCAGTTAGCACCACCACTGGCTTTGGAGGCACCCTTAGCACCAGTGTCTGCTTTGGTAGCTCTCCCTGCTCTGGTGCCGGCTTTGGAGGCACACTCAGTACCAGTATCTGCTTCGGTGGTTCTCCTAGCACCAATAATGGTTTTGGTGGTACACTCAGCACCAGTGTTTCCTTTGGTGCTTCTTCTAGCACCAGCTCTGACTTTGGTGGCACGCTAAGCACGAGTGTCAGCTTTGGTGGCTCTTCAGGCACCAGTGCAGGCTTTGGCGGTGCACTCAACAGCAGTACCAGCTTTGGTGGTGCCATCAGCACCAGTGCTGGATTTGGCAATGCACTCAACAGCAGTGCCAGCTTTGGCAGTGCCATAAGTACCGGCTTTGGTGGTGCACTCAACAGCAGTGCCAGCTTTGGTGGTGCCATAAACACCAGCACCGGCTTTGGTGGTGCACTCAACAGCAGTGCCAGCTTTGGTGGTGCAATCAGCACCAGTGCTGGCTTTGGCAATGCACTCAGCACCAGTGCCAGCTTTGGTAGCGTACTCAATGGCAGTTCTGGCTTTGGTGGTGCCATCAGCACCAGTGCCAGCTTTGGTAATGCACTCAATAACAGTGCTGGCTTTGGCGGTGCCATCAGCACTAGTGCCAGCTTTGGTGGCGCACTCAATGACAGTGCTGGCTTTGGCGGTGCCATCAGCACTAGTGCCAGCTTTGGTGGCGCACTCAATGGCAGTTCTGGCTTTGGCGGTGCCATCAGCACCAGTGCCAGCTTTGGTGGCGCACTCAATGGCAGTTCTGGCTTTGGCGGTGCCATCAGCACCAGTGCCAGCTTTGGTGGCGCACTCAATGGCAGTGCTGGCTTTGGTGGTGCTATCAGCACCAGTGCCAGCTTTGGTGGCGCACTCAATGGTAGTGCTGGCTTTGGCGGTGCCATCAGCACCAGTGCCAGCTTTGATGGTGCACTCAGTAATAATGCTGGCTTTGGTAGTGCCATCAGCACCAGTGCCAGCTTTGATGGGGCACTTAATAATAGTGCTGGCTTCGGCAGTGCCATCAGCACCAGTGCCACCTTTGGTGGTGGACTCAATAACAGTGCTGGCTTTGGCGGTGCCATCAGCACTAGTGCCAGCTTTGGTGGTGGACTCAATAACAGTGCTGGCTTTGGCAGTGCCATCAGCACCAGTGCCAGCTTTGGTGGTGGACTCAATAACAGTGCTGGCTTTGGCGGTGCCATTAGTACCAGTGCCAGCTTTGGCGGTGCAATCAGCACCAACCCCGACTTTGGTGGTGCATTCAGTACCAGTGTTGGCTTCGGTGGGGCACTTAGCACCACTGACTTTGGTAGTACCCACAGCAACAGCATTAGCTTTGGCAGTGCTCCTACTACCAGTGTCAGCTTTGGTAGTTCTCACAGCACTAATCTCTGTTTTGGTGGAGCACCCAGCAACAGTCTCTGTTTTGGCAGTGCATCTAACACCAACCTATGTTTTGGAGGCTCTTCCAGCACCAACTCCTGCTTTAGTGGTGCTACCAGTGCCAATTACAGTGAGGGGCACAGCACCAGTGCCATTTTCAGCTTTGGGAATGGGCTAAGTACCAATGCTGGCTTTGGAAATGGATTGGGCACCAGTGCTGGCTTTGGCAGCAGCCTAGGTACTAGCACTGGCTTTGGAGGAAGCTTAGGCCCCAGTGCTAGCTTCAATGGTGGACTGGGCACCAGCAATGGCTTTGGTGGTGGACTAGGCACCAGCACTGATTTTGGTGGTGGACTAAGTCCTAATGCTGACTTTGGTGGGGGACTGGGTACCAGTGCTGGCTTCGATGGTGGACTAAACACCAGCACTGATTTTGGTGGTGGACTGGGCACTAATGCTGGCTTTGGTGATGGACTGGGCAGCAACACTGGCTTTGGTGGTGGACTGGTCACTAATGATGGCTTTGCTGGTGACCTGAGTGCCAATAATGGGTTTGGCAGCACACTTGGCACTGGTGCAGGCTTTGGTGTAAGCCTCAGCACTGGCGATGGCTTTGGCAATGGGTCTAATGCCAGCTTTGACAGAGGACTGAATACCATCATTGGCTTTGGCAGTGATTCCAACACCAGCAGTAGCTTTACTGGTGAACCCAGCACCGGCTCCAGCTTCAGTAATGGACCCAGTTCTATTGTTGGCTTTAGTGGTGGACCAAGCACTGGTGCTGGCTTCTGCAATGGACCAAGCACTGGTAGCTTTGGTGGTGGACCAAGCACAGGAGCTGGCTTCGGCGGACCGAGCACTGGAGGTGGCTTCGGGGGACCAAGCACTGCAGCTGGCTTTGGTGGTGGACTGAGCGGCAGTGCTGGCTTTGGTGGTGGACTGAACTCCAGTGCTGGATTCAGCGGTGGACCAAGCACTGGCACTGGCTTTGGTGGTGGAGGCACTAACCTCGGTGCCTGTGGCTTCTCTTACGGCTAATGAAGTTTCAGGTAACTGCAATACTCCCATAGCCAGGATCCATGAGAATAGCTATGATAGTTGGGAGATATTAGAAGAAACCCTAAGATAGGAGGGCAGTGTGAGAAGATGAAGACAAGAAAGGATATAGGCTTGGTGCTAACATGTTTTTGGGTATTTTGCTTTGTTTGTTTTTCAGGTTTGTTACCCACGTTTACAGATAATGCTAACGCAGCAGTACTACCCATGGAGCCAATGTGCAGCTTTGGAATCTGTCCACACAGCAACCTAAGCAGCTACTACCCATTAGCTGAGTGAAACACTATGAAAAATCTGCTGTTCCTGCTTTGTGTTTGCTTCCTGTGTTGTTGTCGTATTTTGGTATCAGAGTTACATTAAATTTGCCAAAGGAATCTGAGTTTATTCCATCTTTTGATATGGCTAGCTGGGGCATTTGGGGTTTGTAGAACTAGAATTCAACTTAGCTTTTGGGGGTCTATGTGGCTTCAGCTAAAAGACAGGTCAGGGGATAATAGCTTGAGCAAAGATATGGAAGGGGGAAGCCTATTGCAGAATGCAAACAGAAGAGCTATGGGCAGTAATTTCACACTAATGTGGGGTAGTTGTATAAGAACAGAGGGATAAGGGAAAGAACTAGGAGTTGACATAGGAGCAAGAGGACATTTTCAGGATAGGAAAGAAAAATAAGTATGGACTGTAGGATCAAAGGCAATTGAGAGGCAGGGGATTGATATGGAAGAGTTAAGTATTGACTGAAGTAGTATGAGACAGTGGAAAGAGACAGGGTGCCAGAAAATACATGGTGACCTTGACTTGGAACAGGGTTCACAGGTATCTGTAGAAGTGAATAAACTTCAAGTTTATTCCAAGTACTGATCTACAACCCTAGTAGATCCCAGTTTAAAAAAGGTGTGGATGATTCAAGGCTTGGATTTTACTGGGTAGTTGTGATAAAAGGACTAGGGAACAAAGGCAGCAAGGTTATATGAGCCTGTTTATCATATGAACATTAGTACCCGGTTCATAATGGTTAGTGTATGGATAGCTGCTGAAGACGTAGGTCCAAGTTGGTTAGGGATAGAAGACTATTGAGAGACTAATGAACTAGGAGGTAGTGGGGACACAAAAGGAACTTATGGATGAACAAGGGCAGATACTGTTCATTTAGGAAATACTACATGAATGCCTGTCGTGTGGAGGCATACTGCTAAAATCTTATGGATGATAAAATTATATAGACTCAAATGAACAGGAAGCTTCCAATCAATAAGTTAACCCAGAGAGAGGATGCCACAAACAAAAACAGATAATCAATGAAATTGAGGGAGTCATATCCCTAGAAGTGAGGGTGTTGATAACATCATTAGCATAGGTAATGAAATTACTCAGGAAAGTAGCAAGAGTTAGAGGAGACTGAAGCCCAAGTATTGGATTCTTTGAGTATAATGAATACATCCTGTCCCCATGTACCTTGGCTACCAAGGAACAAAACCAATGGGAACTTACAAGGACCTATCTTTTCCATCTTTGAGAGTCCTACCCTAGGACTCTTCAATCTCAGATGTCCTCACCCATTCTTCACCAACAGCACCAGAGAAAGGTTAGAATCAAGATCTTGAGAACAATGGGAGAAGCCTTATAGCCTCTCCCTGTCCTATAGGCAGGAAGACCTGTCTTTATTCATCAGAAAATAGTTATTTAAAAGAACTTTATAGTTTTGGCTAGGAATTGAGACTTGTTTGGGAGCTGCTACAGACTTCTTCACTGGAGGTAGAACACTCTCAGGCTACAGCCAGAGTCTGCTTAGGGAGAAGAAGGGCAGCAGTTCCTACAGGAGGAAGGCAACGAGGACAGAGGCAATCTGGTCACTTGTAAAGTGTTCAGTAATGGGCAGGGACAGTGTCCAGGGCTTCCTCAGCTTCACGGGTGATGTCCACATTCTAAGGAGAGAGCCCAGGGTTAGTAGGAAGTATAGGGTTCCAGTCCTTGCCCTGCCTCTTGTCCTCACTGCTAGGCATCCCTCTTTGAGCAGGGCATGTGTCCTGTCCTCTTCTTAGGCATGCCTGGTGAATCAGTCTGAGGCCTGTTTAGCAGGAATCGTCACAGCCCTGAGTCTCTATGGGCCTGGAATAGGGTCTTGCCATTTCTGAATATTAGTTGATTTGAAACAACTGGGTTGTCTGGGACTGGAGATGGCTTTTCCATGTGAGGGTACTTTTAGGGTATACCTTGTTAACAGCCAACTTGGGTACAGAACACCCCACCTACCTCAGGCTTGTCCCGGTGTGTGTTCACAGCCTCTATATTCAGGTAGATGGGCTCCACTCTGCAGCCTCAGAAAAGAACAACTCATATGACCATAAATACTTAGGATAAGCCCAAGTCTTTCCTAAGGTATTATTTTCCCCTTTCCCATCATCACTGCCCACACCCCAGCTCCATACTCTCTAGATCAGCAGTTCTCAACTTATGGTGACCCTTTTGGGGGCTGCATATCAGTATCCTGCATATCAGGTATTTATATTATGATTCATAACAGTAGCAAAGTTACAGTTATGAAGTAACAATGAAAATAATTCTATGGTTGGGGGTCAACACAACATGAGGAACTATATTAAAGGGTGTCAGCATTAGGAAGATTGAGAACCACTGCCCTAGATTATATCTCCTCTGAAAGTGGGGGGAGTTCAGATGAGTTATAGGATGTGTGGGAGAGATTCCAGGACCAAAAGCCCAGAAGTCAACAGTCATCTTCCCAGATCTGCATCTGTTTGTTTGCTCAGCTTCAATTGCTCATTTGTACATGGGGAATGAAATGAGAGGAGATGATTTTTGCGACCTCCCCAACTCCTGTGACGTATAAGACAGTGATCTGATCTATGTATTACTGACAGAGTCCTGTGGGTCCTCCAAGCCTTGCTAAGTAGAAGAGTCCTAGGCTATGGTTCTGGGTACTCAAACCCAAGCAAGGTTTATTAAGAACACAATTATAGAAATACTATGTGTGATCACTGGCAAGTTCTAGGGAACCTGAGGAAGTAGGGCCTGGGGTTGACAGAGGAGATCCACTGTTCAATCTAGCCCCTTCAGCACCATTCCTGTAGACTATCCTGTCACAGGTTTCAGTTGGTTCTTTTATCCTGTTCACACCTTTTCCCTGCTTATGAACCTTTCACAAATAGCTAATGCCTTCATTCTTCAGTGTCTCCAACCTATAATTTTCCTGAGGTATCTGGTGGGGACACCTCTGCCTCAACACAAATAGAACAATGTTCTGTACTCAGTGCCCAGGCAGAGAAAGAAAGCCAGGCTCCGGATTTGGATGTTAGCCTAGTTGTTCCCTATTATCCTACTGTCACCAGCTGGACCTTTACCAGAACAGACTGCCAGCCACCTAGAGAACCTCACCCAGGAGCCTTCTAGAGCAAATGGTAGACACTGGAGACATACTCTGGCCTTTCCTTGGGTGTGAGTGGGGGTACTTACCATAAGCCACAGGTGTGAGTTTGAGCACTGTGTGCAAAGGACACTTGAGATAGGGCAGCTCATCTAGAAAGGAGGAAAAAGCAAATCCTGAGAGATGCAGTATTGGGCAGAGGACCACATCCAGGCTGCCGGATATTCCTACTTCTACCTTTGCTTCCTATTTGGGTCCCAGTACAGACTTACAGCTGGTATTCTATATAGTGGGTAGTCATGAAAGCAAGCTAAGCAGGGCAAAAGAGAGAAACCAAACTGCCTGGAAACAGGAACAAGACAGCCTTGGGAAGGGTGGACAACAGGAAATGTGCCATGCCTAGGAGGTGGCAGTTTGGAGCCTCAAACTTAGGGCACTCTGAAGACAAGATTCCTATTCTGCTCTTGCAGTTTGTAGCTGCTGCCATGGATGGAATCAGAGTACTGGGGATGTACACCTTTTTAGACACTTTATCTTGATATCTACCTCACCACTCTTCAGGCTGTACTACATATCCTTACTTCCCTTATTTAGCTGGAAAGCCATCACTTGTAATGACTTCTTGTACCTTAGGCTACTTGTAGGCTTTGAAGGCATGCCACCATCCTCCAAACCTCCAGATATATCAAGGTGGGGCATTTTCTTCAAAATTCATTCTGTTTCTCCTCCCTGTTAATCATTGTAATTAAGTTCTGGGCCAATGACTTTTTTTGTGTGTGATCACACTACACCCTCACTAATGCCCTTAGGTCCTGTCCACTGTCACTTTCCATATGAAGAAACAGGCTTGGAGAACAGAAGTAACTTATCTATAGTCTCTGACCCAGCTCTGCCACTGTCTCCTCTCTCTCTGGCCCTCAGTGTCCCCATTTTACAGAACAAGATTAGATTAGGTACAATCTGAAGGTGCCTTAGCCCTGCAGTTCTGTGGGTATGCATTCTAACTCATATAATTTCTCTGGGCATTTTCATCTCTCTCCTGAATAGTAAGGGTAAAACTATCTGCTGAGCCCTGTAAAACCTTGCTCCCAGGGCCAAGTTGTGAGCAGCTAGAATTATCTGTATGTGAAAGATGATAAGAAATGGAGACATTAGGAAGTACAAGGCTCCTGTGTATATTTGAGAGAAGAGGGCCTCTGATAGGGCCTTATCTTATCCTATGAACTTGGGCAAGTCATTTCATTGCTCCAAGCCTTGGTTTTCTCATCTCAGCAATGGGAATAGTGCCAGTCCCAGTCTCAAAAACTGCTCTGGAAAGCAGAGATGTGAACATATCAGAATTCTAAGACTGAGAAGACCTATTTCAAGTGAGGACATTTTCAAGTGAGGATACTGAAAGCCAGGTAGAGAATATGACTTATCTAATGTCAAGTTCTCAAGTTCCCTGGATTCCAATCTTGAATTATTCCATATTTTATATAGTTTTTATTTTGAAATTAGCATAACAGACTCAAGAGTTTGGGATACTGTAGGCATTAAATAGCATTTAGCATTGCTCCCAAACACCTTCAAAATATACTGGAAATGCGAACATTTCAGTATCTACATTAGAAATGGACTGTCATATGAAGGTGGTGCCAGGTCCCCTGAGAAGATGTAGTATATGTATACTTTGTATACATGCATATGGCAGTATATCAAGTCTGTGTTTACATATGTATGGCAGCATATGTAGTCTATGTGTATATATATATATATATATATATATATATATGGCTGCATATTAAGTCTATATTTATATATATATGGCAATATATGAAGTCATCATATATATTACATATATATACATATGGCAGTATATGAAGCCTATGTATATACGTAAGACAGCATAGCATAAGTGCTCTGTGTGTGTGTGTGTGTGTGTGTGTGTGTGTATGACAGCATATAAAGTCTACGTATACATACTTTCATAAATACAGGGGTTAGATATTTTTTAAAGATAAATTATCACTTGAAAAAATTAAATTATAGACATTGTCATCTTGGAGAAATTATTTATACAGCAAGGCCACAGGTCTCACTATCAACTGAGGCCAGTGTGCTTCAGAGATATATCTGGCTCAGTATATGAAGCTGTGGCAGACTGTTGATGCTGGCTTTCAATATGCAAATTTTACAGATTAGTTAAGAGTAATGCTAATAATGACCACAAAGCCCATAAATGCATCATCTGTTCTAGGCTTTTTAACATATTTATTTCAACTTTAACTTCAATTCTCTACATTTTATACTTGAGAAAACAGGCTGAGGGAGGCTAACAGTACTTATTGAAGGTAGCACAGACCTGTGTAACAAGTTTGAACATAGATATCCTTCTTTAAAAATTGTGCTTCTAACCACTAAGATATAAACTTCTAAGTGCTGACATCAGCATCTCAAATCATATCCAGCTTTTCACACCAAGAACAGAGGGTAAGGGGTCTGTTACCTGAACTTTTATCCAGGAAGTATGCCAGGAGGCACCGCATGACAGCCTGGTGACATATCACCAGTACATTTTCTTGTCGTTCGAGCTCCATTATAACTGGCTCAAGACGCTGAACTAGATCCTCATAGGACTAAACAAAAGAGAAATACTTGTAAGAAGTGTGGGTGGGGGTGAGGCATATTTGCCCTGAGAAGAAAGCTTGGTTTGGGAGCCAGTTGAATTGTTGACCCAACAGTATGGCTAAGGCAAAACACCTGTTTCTCGGGGCTTTTGTTTCTCATCTGTTAAATGAACCAATCAATAATTATGGGCTAAAAGGATGATTCTGACCTGTAGTATTCCAAAATGAAAAGTTTAAAAAATAAGTGGGTGTAGATGCCACAGCTATACTGGGACATTTGGCAATCTCATTAACCAAGAATCTGGGGTTTCAAAAACCTTACAGAGCTCGAGAGATGGCTCAGTAGTTAAGAGCAGTGACTGCTCTGCCAGAGGACTGGGATTCTATTCCCAGCACCCACATGGCAGCTCACACCTGTCTGTAATTCCAGATTTGGGGATCTGGTATCCTTACACAAATGCACGTTAAATAAAGTATTTTTTTTAAAAGAAACTTATATCTGAGACTCTCAGAGGACAAATCTTTTTTTTCCCCTGAGGACAAATCTTTATACCCTCAGTAAAAGTTTAAATAGAAAAAGTCCATCCACACGAGAAAGGAAAACAGTAAGAAAATGTATCTGATCCTCCTCCTGCCTCCACCGCTTTCAGGAAATCCTATCAGTTTGCTTCACCAGGGAGGTAGGAGAAAGAGGAGGGGAGAAGGGGAGAGGGGAGAAGAACATGAGGAATCAGGAAGGTTGAGTTGGGGGAAGGACAGAGAAGGAGAGCAATGAAAAGAGATACCATAATAGAGGGAGCTGTTATGAGCTTAACAAGAAACCTGGCACTAGGGAAATTTCCAGGAATCCAAAAGCATGCACCACCTAAGAATCTAATCAATAGAGGAGAGGCTACCTTAAATGCCCTTCCCCTATAATGAGATTGATGACTACCTTAAATTCCATCCTAGAGCCTTCACCCAGTAGCGGATAGAAGCAGAAGCAGAGATTCACAGCTAAGCACTGAGCCGAAATCCTGGAGTCCAATTGTAGAGAGGGAGGAGTGATGAGCAAAGGGGTCAAGATCATGCTGGGGAAACCCACAGAAACAGCTGACCTGAGCAAGTGAGAGCTCATGGACTCGACTCACAGCTGGGAAATCTGCTTAAGACCGAACCAGGCCCCCTGAATGTCGGTGTCAGTTGCGGGGCTTGGGCAGTCTTTGGGGCCTCTGGCAGTGGAACCAGCATGCATCCCTAGTGCACAAATGGGCTTTGGGAACCCATTCCTTATGGAGCGATACTCTCTCAGCTAGATACACAGGGGAGGGCCTAGGTCCTGTCCCAAATGATGTGACAGACTTTGATGATCCCCCATGGGAGGTCTCAACCTCTCTGAGGAGAGGATGGGGGGTGGGATGGGGGTCCCAAACCTAACCAAGAAGCTATTTGCAACTGATACCCACTGGAAAAAGGAAAACTTTCTCCAATGTGCTGTCACTGGTATAGCAAGAACCCTTCAGAGCAGACCCTATACTCAAGAGTAGTTGGCCAATGCAAAATTAGCTCCATATCTTGTTTTGGCATTGTCTGTCTTATTGGTTGTTTGTTTTGATTTTCATTTTTGTGTTTTTGTGGGTTTTTTTGGAAACACAGTTGGGCAAGTGGGAATGTAGGGAGGATCTGGGAGGAACTGGGGGAGGGGAAAACATAATCAAAATATATTACATAAAAATTTGACTAAAAAAGAAATATAAGAAGTTAAATGTTCAATGGAGACCATGCTGGAGAAACCTACAGAACCAGCTGACCTGACTTATTAAGAGCACACGGATCCCAGTCGTAAAGCTGGGGAACCAGCATTGGACTGAACCAAACCCTCTGAATGTGGGTGCCGGGTAAGAGGAGGCCTGGGAAGGCTATGGGACCTCTAACAGTGGAACCAGTATTTATCCCTAGTGCACAAATGGACTTTGGGAGCCCATTCCCTATGGAAGGATGCTATTGCAGCCCAGATACAGCAAGGAGGGCCTAGGCCCTTCCCCAAATGATGTGACAGACTTTGATGATTCCCCCCCCCATGGAAGGCCTCACCATCCTTGGGGAGCAGGTGGGGTGGGTTGCGGGTGTTGGTAGGAGGCATGGGAGGATGGGAGGGAGAGGGAATGGGGGGCATTCATATGTAAAATGATTGTCTCTAAATAAAAAAGGGAAAAAAGTTAAATGTTCAAGTTGATTCTATAACAATACACAACAAATTATTCTGAGTGATTTTAAAGTACAACATTTTGACCTCATACCCTCATTGGGATATCTTCAAAAACAGAAAGAACCATGATGGCTTTTTTAAAGTTAAGCACAACCTCCACGACAATCGGGAAACAGATTCTAACACATATTGATGAAAAACTCAATCCTAAGGAAAGCAAGAGAAAAATGAAGTAAGCACAGAAAGTTCAAGACAACAGAAATAAATGTTAAAAAGTAAGTAACATCAATAAAAATATATGTACCAATGTACCAAGTTGAGCATTCAAAAGATATATTTCAGTTTGGATTTAAGGCAACAAAGACCAACTATAAACTGCTTATAAGAGACATAAATAAAACAAGTACCCAGAGAAGTTAAAAGTGAATAAATATAGATGAACTCAGAAAATGGTTAGATGATACCATTTAGAGCTAGATTTGTGTTAGGTAAATAGCATTAGTAAGGAAAAGAGTTAAGTCATTCTTAATAAAAAATATGTAATTCAGCAAGAAGACAAGATTGCTTTTAATTTGTATGCCTCTAATAACACAGCCTATATATATATATGAAATGAGAACAAATTAACATTAACTTAATAAAGCCCCTTCTGAGAATGAAGATGAAAATATTAAAGTGATTTAAGACTGAACATAACATCTACTGTTTTATCTCTCCTGATGTCTGTATTTTCAGAGAACTGTTCATAGGGTTTTGATTCAGAGATGGAGTATGACTAACAAATACATTAAAATGCAGAACTGACTAAGTAGAGGCAGGATTGAAGGCCATAAGCACTCATCTCATATAGAGACAGGAAAATTATGTTCTGGCTCACATAGCAGCCAAGAAGTTGATTAAACTAATAGCTTTTGTTGCTTGCCAACTGCTGAGAGATCCTAGAACTTTAGGAAAGTTGGCAATAAAATATTACTGAATTAGAGTATATTGAGCTATTTCAAGTTGTCCAGTGAGGAAATGACAAATACAAGTTATTGGATAAAGTATGTTCTTCTAAAAGTACATAGGGCCTATAAGCAGGCAAATATGTAGCTTTTAAAAAAGAGGAGTAGCAGGTCGTAGCAACTATCACTAAGCCTGATGACCTGAGTTTGATCCCCGGGATCACATGGTAGAAGGAGAGAACCAAGTTTCATGGGTTGTTCTCTGACCTCCACAAGCATGCAGGGCATGGCATGCATACATGCACACACTGAATGAATGAATGAATATTTCTTTAAATAGCTTGCCTAATAGGTAAAGATCAGATGATTATGTACCTTAACAGTTGGCAGCTACTGAAAACATGCTTTGCCATGTTTCTAAAACTATTCAGGAAACTCTGGCAGTTGGAATGAAGATACAGGGGAAGAGTGCTAGGAGGTAGATCACCCCTTCAACTTTACCTCTCCCTTGGGATAGCGGTAACGATATTTATCCTGGTCCCGTAGTGCAAATTCCTCAGGGTAGTGTTCCTGGATTTCTTCATAGGTCATTTCCTCACAGACACCCTATTAAAAAATATCTGTGAACAATATATTCACCAGGGGAAATCCATATAGCTTTTCACACAGTTCAGAGACCAATGATTATAGAATAGTATAACATATGGGGTTCTGTGAATGCAGCTCTTGAGTTGTACCTGTTGCCTGTGGTGTGTGTGTGACCTGTGTGGCTTGTGTGTGTGAGGACAAATGGATGGGTGTTTTCATGTATGTTTATGTGCAGCATGTGCTGTTGTGTGATATTTTGATTGCATTCTGACAATAAAGTTTGCTTTGAGTCAGAGGGCGGTGCTAGCCACTAGCTGACCAAAATTAACCACAGAGGTGTTGGACTGGACTGAGGACATATAGGCGACAGGAAGTAGTGACCTGGACAGAGAGAGGATCTCAAGCCCTTTCTTTGAATTGAGGAATGGAAGAGAGAGGAGGGGGCTGGTGGCTTCTCTGCTTCCTTGATCATTTAGGTTCTTACCCTGATATCTGACTCCCAGTGATTTACTGATAAAGAATAATTACATAAACACAGCAGTGTACTTGAGATATATTCAAAGCCCTCTGTTTGTGTATATAATGTATATCTATTTTTGCATATGTGGTACACTTGTATTCTCTGTGTATATGTACAGCGTGTCTAAGTATCTGAGAATATGTCCATGTGGGTGACTCTGTAGTATGCATCTTCACGTGTATTGGTGGCATACATCCATGAATATGTGCATTCTGCATTATGTTTCTGCTATATATTTGTATCTGTGTGACTATGTCTGAAGTCTGTGAATTTGGGGTAATATGGCTGGAGCTATGTATTAGTGTTATGTACATGTCAATGGTCTGCTCATCTGTATCCATATGAAATGGATATGTATATGATGTGCCTATGTTTATTTCTAGATGTGCGTGAATACATGGTGCAGACATGTTTGGCAGAAGAGAGTTGCTGTGACTGTGAAGTGCATTTATATACCTGTGAGCATACTTGTGGCAGGTGTCTGAAACTGTATGCATGTACATACTATAGTGGTACTCTCCCATTGGACAACCTTCCTTATCCTTCCTGTCCTGCCCTATATTTTAGTATCTCTGGAAAAAATCTATCCACAGATACTTCATAAGGCAAAACTTAGGAAATTTTTAATTTAACTGTGTCTAGGAAGATAAACTCTAAGAGCTTCCAAGTCTGCTGAGAAATCCCCATAGGCAAGACTGCTGGTAGTGGTGGTAAAAAGTGGTATTGTTTCTGACATTTCCTTCAAAGTGTGTGAGTTCTAATTAAACCCTGTTTGGTGCTCGACTCTAGCTGTTGTCTTTTTGGACTATCTACCAGGCTTCCTTCAGGGCCAGGAATAGAACACTTACAAATTGCAAACAGCTCTGCAGTGTCAGGCTTTCTGAATGCACATTACTCATAGGAAAGAATGTGCACAAAGATCTTTTTAAACTGTTTTAAGCTTCTATTCTGAGGCTTACTGTGAGGCTTTTTGCCTAAGGAAATGACCATTGTCTTATTTTGACTTTAGGCAACATGCTTAAGCTGGGTTTTATTTTCCTTATCTGCTAAATGTAGAAATTAACTACTTATAGAAGCTGTCTAATTTGGTTTCTCTTGCTGTGGTAAACCATGATCAAAAGTCAGGAAAGAACTCAAGCAGGAGCAGAGGCAAGAACCATGGAGGAAACATGATTCCTTGCTTACTTTTAGGCTCACATTGAGACACCTTTTTTTTTATATATACCCCAGACCTACCTGCCTCGACATGGTACTGCCCACAGTGAGCTGCCCCCTATATAAATTAATAATCATGAAAATGGCCCAGAGACATTCCCATGGGCCAATCCAATGCTGAATTTCTTAAGATCTTCAAGACACAGAATGCTCTCTTATATATAGTTGGTTGACAAAAAAAAAAACAAGGTCTTATTAATTAATTAGGTTCCCTGGAACAGATGTAACCCAGGAGATAATTTTAGAATTACCACCTCCCTACATGCCAGGACATTAATCCTTTCCATTTTACCGCATCAATCTCATTCAGGGCTTTCCACTGTTCATAAGGGACACCTAGGGCCTCAGCAGTCTGAATGGTCCTCTTCATATGGCTGGTCCACACCTTCAGGGAGCTGATGCCTTGAGACCGAATGAAGTTGGCTAGGGCATAGGCATACTAGGGGTACAAAAGAGAGGAAGGAAAAAACTGAAAAAAAAGAACTGAGAAGCGAAAGACCAAGGGAGTCATAAGAACCAGTTCAAATCTCTCAAGGACAAGCAAGAAAATGAGGGTTAAATTTATATAATGATAAACCTGTGACTATAGCTCAGAGGTAGACCATTTGTCTAACAGATATTGAGGTGCTGGGTTCTATTCCTCCCACCACAAAATATTGCATAAAGACAAACTATTGAGAAGGTAGGATACAGAAAAGCTAATCAAAGAGTACAAAGTAACAGAGAGTGATCAATGGGTACAAAGTTACAGTTAAGAGAATAAGTTCAAATGTTCCAATGCACAGGAGGGTGACTATCTTTAAAAATTTGGTGTTGTATAGTCTAAACCCTTAGAAGATTTTGAATGTTCTTATCACACACAATGTTAAACACATAAGATGATAGGCCAATATACAATTAGCATGGAAGTAGTAAATTGCATCTAACCAATATGTGCAATTATAAGTCATATCTTATCCTGGGTCACTGATGCTTGCTCACTGAATCCCCTACTAGGTGAATCATTTATTCAAACAGGCCCACCTCTAACATATGTGGAGCCTAAGAACAAATGCAACCACCCCATGGTCTGCATCCTTTCTCCTTCCATTTCTGATGACATCCAGCACTTCTAGGTATCTTAATACATGTCTGAGGTTAATCAAATCACATCACCAAGTTCTGATTATGCTCCATCTCCAGTGGTCCTCTTCCACACAAAGAGTAACCTCAGGGCTACTCTTGAGCCTAAAAGTTAATATTCCTGTGACTATGGCCTGTCCTCAGGTGGAGACTATCAGCTAGGTGCATACAGACACTGAAGCAGATTTCAGGCCATTTCAGTGGGGTTCCAAGGTTAAAAGAGCACAGAATGGGGTCTGGAGTATGGGTTGAAGGATCTGAAAGACAGTGCTCCAATTCTGTGAATTCCCATTGTTTGAATGGGGATCCTGGTACCTGGTTAAAGGGCATTTGCACATGCATTGAGTATTTATGGCCCTGTTTTGGATGATGAAGTGTCAATTGTGGTGATTTATTATTTATGATTTGTTAAAGCTTGCCTGAGGATTCAGAAAGCAAAGTCAGATACAAGCCATAGAAGCCAGGCAACACCTTGAATCCCAGCAGCCAGAAGCTAGGAGGTGGTGGTAGACACTGTTAATCCTAGGACTAACTGATTAAGAGGTAGAGGGATCTCTGCGAGTTCAAGGCCACTCAGGGATACATGAGATTGAATCAGTCTAAAAGAGTAACAAATCACACACCTTTAATTGCAGCACTAGATGGGTATAAAAGATAGAAGCATGGTCTTCAGTATTCAGTAGAATAGAGAAGGAGAATAGGAAGACATTGAAGTCTTAGGATTCTCTAGCCATGCTGAGGAGAGGCAGCAGGATCAACCAATTCAGCCTGAGGTAGAGGTTAAGAAGCTAGTGGCCAGCTGCTTTGTTTTTCTGATATTCAGCTTGAAGTTTGAACCCCAATCAGTCTCGTGGGTCTTTTAATTTTTCATGTTATAGTTAATGCTCTACAGAACCAGCTACTTAGAGAAATAATGGCAGTGCAGAAGGGAACCACAAAGGGCCATGGGAGCCCTGTGTACAGGGTTTATTAATCATACATGGCACAGCCCAGGTACATCTGCACAAATGGGCATAGGCACATACTTGTATGATAGATGCAAGTCAGCAGTCAGTATTCATGGGTAGAAGAAGCCTTTGCCTGAGAGAGTAAGAGAAAGACAAACCCCAATAGCTCCCTTACACAATTCCCATCTCTGACCTCATATCATACCTATAAAATGCAAATATCATGCACTTATCCAGCTTTGCCTCTGAGTTGTGTGGAAAGCAAACTACTTCCTGGTATATAGTAGGTACTAGTTAAGTGAAAGCTGTAAGATTGGGGTGGCTGGCCTTTAAAACCAGGCCTGGTGCAGTGGGCTGAAGAATGTGAAGGTTTGGGTCTGATGTGTGCACATATATACATATTTGTGTCTGCAGGAGGTACTCATGTGAACACGGCCACTTTTCCAATGAGCTGAGTTATGCAAGTAAGACATGGACTAGCTATAACTAAGAAGTCCTTGGAGATTAAAAAATACCTCAAGTGATTTCAGCCTCTGTTCTGGAGAGCATGAGAGGTAAGAGTCATGTCAGAGGCAACCTCCAGAGGGAGGTTTCCAGTCCATAGGGATCAGAAAGGATCCCTGATGACAGGGCTTCAGGGACAGTCCCAGTTTGGGACATCTCCCACCTATCCAACAGGTGTGCTGAGGCAAGGCAGGAAGGCATGGTTTTCAGTCCTGCCTATGTTATCTTGTACTGACCTTGCAGCCTGAGGCTGCTTTCTGTCTCTGTTGCTCAGCATCCTCATCCATAAACAATGACAGTTATGCTCAGTTCACACTGCTGATGTCATTCAAAAAATACATGCAGAAGTTTATGGTACTGTGGCTGTGCAGAGGTATTCAATAAAAGACAGTATGGGGCTGTAGAGTTGGCTCAGCATTTAAGAGCACTGGCTGTTACTGTTCCCAGCACCCATATGACGGCAAATAACAGATTAACGCCAGGGGATATGAAGTTCTCTTCTTGTCTTTGTGGACATCAGGCATGCACATGGCACACAGACACACATGCAGACAAAACACACATACACATAAAATAAAAGCAAATAAAACTTAAAAAAAAAGACATTGAGAACCAGGAATGCCCCTCCTGTACTTCATTTCCTGCCTATGTTATCTCTAAGTGATTTTCTCCAGCAACATGTGTGCTAACAATCCTAGGTAAAGGATGAGAAGCTGGGAAGAAAATCCCTTTAGGAAACAAGTACCCAGAATGGACAGATTACTATATTGGGCTGGGAACAGGGAAAGTCATGACCTGAGAGAGTCAGTATTAGACCAGAATGAGGAGAGATGCTCCCAAGGCCTACTGGGATAAGGAGTGAATGGGGAGGATTTCCTGGATGACTAGATCTTGGAGCAAGAGCAGGGCCTTGGAAAAGAATGAAGTGATGAGAGGCAAAAAGGTAGGGGCAGTGTGACTTCTAAAATGGGCTAGGGGACAACATCAACACTGAGTCATGAAGAAGAGTGATTCAGGCTCAGAGCACCTATCTATGTATTTGACAGCAGCTGACAGAGGGACCAAAAAGGACAGCAAGGTGGGAATAAATAAAGGATAGAGTGGTAAGAATGATGCGGGGAGACATCAAGTAGGGAAACTGTGGTCACTGTGATGGAGCTTGAGAAGCAGCTAGATTTGTGCAGTCTTGGAGGACCATGCTACTGATCCTGCAGAAGCAGTAGGTGTATGGGAACCACTCAATGTCTGTGACAGAACTCAGTGACTAATGATGGAAGAGAAGGATCGATCATAATTTGTTTCTTTCCCATCAAGGGGTAATTCTCCTTAAAATCCAGTCATTGGCCACAAGACCTTGGATAGTCTAGTCTACACACCTGAGTCTTTGGAGCCCTCCTTACCTGCTTGCCCCGAGATGAGAGGCCAGAGTCACCTCCAATGCGGCCTCTGAGGTTGAGTTCACTCTCCCCATGACGGCATAGGTAGATGGATCGAGGTGTGACATGAATGTTCATGAGGTAGTAGGCTGTGCGGCTCTGAACATGGTCCTGCACTCGATTTACCATGTAGCGTGTACCCACGTCGAAGATCTTGATGTAGGACAGGTGGCTGGGCCCGACCCAAGCAGAAGCAAACATCTTAGGTGCTGATAGTAGGAAGGGTTGATTCCAAGAGAAATTCTCAACCACACATCCTGCTTCCAATCCTCCTCTGGAATTCAGCTGCTACCTAGCGTGATGTTATCCCTAATCTTGTTCTGGGTATATGTCCTAGAGATTTTGTTCCTGACAACCCCAAGGACCTCATCACTGTGGGCTACCATCTCCTTTCTTCAGCTTGAGTCAACCTGTCTTTTTACCCTTGCTAATCACAATACAATTCTCTATAGTCTACCCCTGCAATTCACAAGTACTTTTATTTGAATTAAGGCACTGTGCATTGGGTAGAGGATATCTGCCCTTTGGGAACTCTTAGTCAGAAACATGCACTTGGAAACAAGTGGATAATATTCAACATTCTTGTCCCAAACAGCACAGCGTGGCAAGTATTAGTGTGAAGGGTTACAGAAATGGTGTAGAACATCATTAACAAACTTGTGGTCCTGGCCCTGGTGGTTCCTTTAGTTTATGTGCTCAGCTCGAAACTGAGTAATAATTGAATACAACAACCTGTCTCTGGAGGCACTGGGAGGCAGGGGTGAGGATACCAACAGATCAGAAGACTTAGTGCCATGAAGTAAGACTTCTACAGCTTCTGTAACAGCCATAAATCCTCTAGTTATTTGACTGTAAGGAGCTGAGAGAGCTCTGTGGGAAGAGGCATGGGAACTGGAGTCATAGAGTGACAGCAGCAACCCAGGGCCCATAAGGCTGCTGATAGTTTTGGTTTCAGAGGGTCTCTTCCTTGATCATCCTAGAAGTCATTTCCATCTACAACTCCATCATTCATGGCTCCAGGATTCATGTGCAGTGGTTCCCACAGAACACTTGCATTTGTTGAGTATTTTCTGTGTATCTTGCAGAGACTGGGAGATTTTAAGATGTATGAATCCTCATAGTCATCATTCATAGAAGATATCATCATGTAGAAAACTGAAGCACACAGAGAACCAATTTGCCACAGAATGTGTCCCACTCCAGTGATTTTTATAGGACCCCCCAGAGCCTGAGAGCAGAATATCTCTGATGTTATCTTGTTGAATGTTTATTATCTGTTCCAAATACTAGACTCTATGGGGCTCTAAGGGAACTTTCAAATTCCATAGCTATATCTAACAACCTAAGTGATTTTACATGCTATCTGTAGTTGGCCTCACTACACAGCACCACACCTTACCAATGACTTCTTAATTCTTACATTGCTGTTGTACTTGGAATAGTCTCTGTACTCCTCTCCTCTTTTCATACCAAGAGCTAATTAAGCCAGCTGTCTCAAAATACTTTTCGTTTTGCTTGAAATGATGTCCCTTGCTAATTTCCAAAGTTGAGCTCCTATGTATACATCTTTCAAAAGCTAGTATAACATTTATTGTAATTGTCAAATGGTTGTAGGATAGTTTTCTTCGTATCTTTGGAAGATCCAACATTGATGATGCCCTGAACACACAGTTAGCTTGCCTACTGAATAATCCCATTCTTCCTGGCATTCTTCCTTATAGGGAGGCCAGGTTTTCTGCTTGAGTTCCTTCAGTCATCTTGCTTACTGTTCCCACAACTGGGATCAATTGTGTATACACCACCTTTTCCAATTTATTAGGCATTCTAGCAAACCATGTACAGCCTTGCCTCTTTGACTTCCTTAGGCACTGCTAAAGCTAGCCATGATGAATGAGTTATAAATGTCTATTAATTAAATAAATTAATAAAATAATTCATTTTATTAAAAATAATTAAATAAAACTGGCCTTCTATATCCATCTTCTTCAGGTTCAATGGGTTCATCAAAAGAATAACAGAAACATAAAGCTAAGCCATCAAACAGCCTTTATATGTTACTTGGTCTTTTTCCTTTTTATGAAAGTGCCTTTTAGGTAATCAGAGGACTTCTCACAATGAGGCTTAGAAATAATACAAGCTCAACAGAATCAGTGTCAAACCATGATTATAAAATGGCATTGTTTTACAATTTCCAAGATCCTGTCATCTCTGTTTTTGAAATATATGACTTTTGGCGTGAAATCATAGACTACTGAGTATTGATGATTTATTTAAATTTTTGTTTTGAGGTTATGGTTATATTTCTTTCTTCTCATTTATCACTCCCACTACTATAAAGTTAAAAGGCACATTGCTGAGAAAAAAAACAATGAAAATAAAACACATTTAATAATTTGCCTTTATATGTATTTCAAAACATTCCATTATTTCTCTTAAGCACAGTAATTATATCATATTTATTTAAAGGAATGTAGAATTAATCAATTTTTGTTCCAAAGCAATCAAATTTCCTATACTTATAGAAAGATATAGACAGTGTCAGTTGTGAATGTGAGGGACGTAGTGACAGTGTCAAAGGAAACATTCTGTGGGGTAGGAATTACTAATAAAAGCTTCTCTTGGTCTCATGGGCAATGGATACTTAACTATGTCCTTAGATACTTCAGGAGTATGTTGAGAGTGCTCAGCTACTTGCTTTGTAGCCTTATATTTCAAATAATTGATATTCTTAGAAACATTCACATGATGTAAGTAGTGAGGGCTATGGGAGGAGAAATAACAGGAGACAGAATATATGGTAGTCTCCTAGCCCCACCTATCACTTGTAGTGGAAGCTTGGGAAGTAGATTCAGCTCCCTAAGACTCAGTTTCCTCTTTTTGGAAATTTATGATCATCAGCTCTACCACAGCCTCCTTTATGGAGCTATAGGAATGCGACGGAAGAAAGAAGGTGGATCAGTTTAGATATTGAGGTGACATTCATGTGAATAGTATTTCTGCAATAAAAACACAATATCCACAGAAGGGAGGCATTTGTTCTCAGGGAGCAAAGTCCCATCTGTACCTACTGCATCGGAAGGCACAACTTTAGTCGACTCATGAATACTTCCCACATCAAGGAATCACTGCCTCATGGAAAACTGGACTGGAGGGGGTCATAAAGACATACCAAGCCAAGTCCCACTTCTGATAATATGGAAAGAAAAGTTAAGGCCCCCTAAAGGTAGATATTTCCTTAGGTCCCATAAGACATCAAAACTGGGCTAAGGCTCCAGACTTTGACTTTGAGGTGTTTTGGGGCTCTTACCTGTCCAATTCCTCATCCAAAGGTTGGTAGTTGATCTCATAGCACTCAATTCTCTTAAGAAAGTCTTCTAAAACCTTTTCTTGGTCACAGTCTATGTAATCAGGACTGCCGAGTTTCACTTGCTGTGAGAAGGTGGGAAGAACATAAAAGTGAGGAAATGGAGACTCTGACATTGTATTTGGAAAAGGCCCTTAACAGATAGACAACTACCATATACCCCCATTACAAAGGCAAGGGAACTTAATGAGTTTAACAAAGGGTTTTGCCCAAAATGACAAAATTAGGCAACTGAAGAGAAGCTGGGCTATATTTTACAATATATTTACTTCCAAAGAACATACTGCTTAACAACATCTGTAAGAGAACAGGAAACTGTGATACAGAAGAAGAGTAAGATATCTTGACGGCTTTCATGAATTCAGTCATTGTTGAGAAAACAGGCATGATGTCATTGGCTTTCTTAAAGACAGACATCTCCTAATCCTCCAATATCCACCTTCCTCTTTATTTCCCACTCCTATACTCAATCACTTAAGCCTATACAGAATCTCACTTGCTAGCAGAAACTAAGCCTCTCTAATCTCTTTTCTAAATAGCTAATCTCTTTTGCCTATGCTCACTAGAGCTTTGTGACTAATTGCTGGTAGCCAAACAGATATTTCTTTTAAAATTTTAGACCATTTTATTATTATTATTATTGTGTATACATATATGTGTATGATTCATTATTATTATTGTGTGCATGTACATGTGTATGATGTGGTCTTATGGGACATATGCATGCCACAGTGAGTGTGAGGACAATTTTGTGGAGTTGGTTTTCTCCTTCCACCTTTATGTGAGTTCTGGGGATTGTACTCAGGCTATCAAGTTTGTGTGTTGAGCATTTTTACCCATTGAGTCATCTCACTGGTCCCAGAAGGGTATTTATTTATTTTTCCCAAAAGGATATTTATAACATGCACATTTGACAATAGGACACTCCTATTTAAACTGCTTCACAATTTCCAAGTGTCTTTTAGGACAAAGTCTGAACTATTTTAGTGAGTGGATCATGACAAGTCAAAATTACCTTTTCACTATAATCCCTTTCTACTCTCATGTTTGGACACACATTTTGCCTTATCAGGTCCAAACTAATTATAGTTCCCTGGATATATTGTATTTAGTATATGTTATTCCCCATTTCAATTCTTTACCTGTAAAAACTCCTTTGTATCCATCAGGATACTACTGCTACCTCTACTTGGAGGTCTTCCATGGCATCCTCCCACATGCAAGATTGGCTCTTACCACTGTGTTCCTACAACCTTCTCTTTCCCCTTACCTAATCTCTAATCTCAAGGGCTCTGTATATGTATCTGTCAGTGTCCCTAATTAGACTGGGGGTTCAAAAGAAGGGCTTTTACTGTTTCTGTATCTTTAATGCCCACAATGGCTATCCAAGTGTACAGTTTCTTCTGAATCAGTAAGTAGATGGATACTTGGGTGGATGAAAAGGATGACTTAAAAGCTCAAGGGCAAGCTAGCTTGGAATATACAACAGAAAATAAGAAGAGATCTTATCTCAAACAAGGTAGAAGATGAGGACAGACACCAGAAATTATCTTCTGACCTCCACATACACACCATGGAATGTGCATTCCACATTTCACACACATATACACACATGCATAATGTTTGTGTGGATATATATACATGCATGCATATTTAAAACGTAAACTAAATTAAAACTTATTTTTTAAAGAATAAGGAAGGAAGGTAATTGATTTTCCTTACCTTGATGTTTTCGGCAATGATGTCAGGGTCATTACAAATAGACTCAATAAAGAAGACCTAGAAGAGAAAAAGAGAGCTTTCCAGTACAGGGTTATGTTTTGGGAGAGCCAAATAAGCATACCCACTCTTGTCAGCCTTGAGTCATCCCTAGGGACATTTGTAAAAACAGTGCTTTCAAACAACAGTGCTTTCAGGATTCTGACTCCTATGAGGCAGCCTGGCTCTAATTGAATTGCCCCAGATCTTTGCTGGGTTTGGTTCTTACATGTTTCTCATGACTCTCATCATTGCCATGTCACTATCGCCAGTATCAGTGTGTAAGTAACCAGCTTTCACTGACTAACCTGGCATCTCCCCTGTTCTGTTCTGCTCTGCTGTTTCTGAATTTACCCTGGAAAGCTGGATGTTAATCCCATGGTGTCCAAACTGGCTGCTCTAAGTGCCCTAGTTTGTACTTCTTTGGAATTTGCTCTAGGTAAGCATGGTTGGGTCACTCTACCTTGTAACCATGTTCTTTAGCAAACTGCAGAATCAATGATCGTCGTTCTCTGGTAGTGTTGGTGGCATCAAAAACCTAGAGACATGTAATAATACTGTCAATCTAGTATTAGCATTCTTTGTTCACCTTTGTTCCAAGTGGAGGGCTTCCAGAAGGGGGCAGAGTCTTAAAGAAAAAGAAGACTTTGGAATTGGCTTGTGTCACTTTCAAAAGCATTCATTTAATCCTTACTGTCTGCTCAGAAATGTCCTACACTTTATTAATATAATAAGGCAAGAGAAAAGTTGGGCATTTTCCTTAGGATCATGTTATAGGTGAAGTAACAGGCCTAGAAGAAGGACTTGCTCTGATAATAGCCATGGATTGCTGATAGAGCAATAGTAGAGCTGCTTCTCCAGATGAGACCTGTTCTTCCTAAAGCCTTAAAAAAGCTCAGGAACAGGAAAAATTCCCTATCCTTAGTATTTGCAAATTTGAGGATTTGTAACCCAAGGATTTAAGACATTAAATTGCTGAGCTATTTAGGCAAATATCTCTAAAAACAAACAAACAAAAAACACGAAAGACACAATTTAACCAGTTTATGTTCTGCACTGTATGGAAGTTCATGGAATTTTATAGACTTTGGGTCTTGTTATTTTGGTATGGTACAGTTATAATTGTTTGCAATGATTTTTAATAAGAAAGTTCATAACATTTTGAAAAAAGAAAAGAACATAATGTTTGTACTAGAGTTTTAAATTTTTATACTGCTAAATGTTGAGGACAAATCAATGAAGCATGGGGCTTAAGAGTTTGGATTTTGTAAATACTGTACAACCCTGGGAAATAATTTAAACTTTCTGCAGTAATTATTTTGGAACCTAAAATAGAGCATAATAATGACAACTATATTATGGGGGCAATGTGAATTAAATTATTAATATAAACAAAGTACTTGGAATAATGTATGGCATAAATAAATGCTTAGAAAATATTATCTATTTTCCATACTGACAGATACGGGGGGAAATGGAAAATTATTTACCGCAACGTGACCTTCCTCATGGCTGAGATATTTATGGACATCCTTTAGGGCTGCCAGAGCACACTGCCTGAAAAACAGAGAAAGAAGCAGACAATCCCTATTCCCAAGATGAGTTCTCCTCACTGTTGTTCTCTTATGAACCATCTCTCATATGTTTTATACTAAATTATTCATCTGTTGACCATCTACACAGCACACTTTGTTCCAGGCATCATGTTAAGTACAGAGGGGTCACGGTTGAAACTGGCTCTGTGTGTGCTGCTTAAGGGCATGTATAAGATGACATGCTGAGCAATGAAAGCATCCTAGCTTTTGGGCACTAACTGTGTGCTACTGGAGCTCAAGTTGAATTGGTTGAAGAACACAGGTAAGGCCTAGGGATGTGGTCTTTGAGTTAAAATGAATTTTTGGCATAGGCAACATTGTAAACACAGGTATGATACAGATAATGTATTTAGGTTTTCAGCAAATATCTTTTTAATAGTTACTGGTTACTGGGTTCTATAGTGAGGACACAGATAAAGAGTTGAGAGCCAGGTTGAACCTAGTAGTACTTGCAGCCACATAGATAAAACAGACTTTAAGGTTGAAATGATGACACTGTAGACACTGAAGAGTACTGAACTACTGAATCACTCAATCTCAAATGCTAGGGTAAAAAAAATTTATGTGATCTTACAAGAAATAAGAGACTGTAAATGTTTCTTGATAGAGAATGGCTATGACTAGAGCTGACTTTGAGCAGGTTGACAGTTGGACACAGACAGGGTGTTCAATTCATGGCCTAGGGTAACTATGAAATGTGGCCCAACACAAATCATAAACTTACATAAAACATTATAAGACTTTTTTGCATTTTTCCTACTCATAGCTTGACTGAGGAGTTCACAAGCATGAACGCTGTAAATGACTATACTTAAGTTCCCATGTCAAAAGTTTGGACACCAATGGAAGAGCTGGTTACTCTATTCTAGCCCCTAGTAGGATATGAAGAAAGGCACCCTTCAGCCAAAGGGCAGCACAGGTTCTTAAATGTCGAACACTTACTTCCTGATAAGTTGGGCTTCCATGTTGTCTGGGAGAAAGAATTCATAGTTCCTGTAGCTCACTGCCTCTCGTCGATATTGGCCTAAATTAAACACTGAAAACAGGAAACCCTAATGAAGAAGTGGAAAACATTGCAGTGGCCAAAAATATGTTCTTGCTGGAAGGAACATCAGAGGTAGAAGGCATAATTTATAGGAAATTGTACATATAAAAGGAAAATGTAATTATAAAATTTCAAATTATGGGTACCAACTCATTTTCTCCCTCATATTAGACCTACAAAGTAAGGCTAACTATTTCACCTTTACAAATGAGGAAAGTAAAGCTTAAAGGTACAAAACAGCTTTCAAGTTAGTAACTGGCAACCTAGAATTAAAACCCAAGTCTTTTGATTCTAAGGTATTTTACTCTATCATAAATCCCGACCATTTAAATGTCATATTCAATATGGAAGATATGTGAGAAGGATTAGGAGGTGTGGCTTTGTCAGAGTAGGTATGGCCTTTTTGGAAGAAGTGAGTTACTGGGGTGGTCTTTGAGGTTTTAAAACCTAAGCCATGGCCAGTGTGTCTCTCTACCTCTATGCCCGTGGATCAAAATGTAGAATTCTCTGCTACTTCTCCAGTGCCACGTCAGCCTGCATGTCGCCATACTCTCTGCCATGATGATAATGAACTAAGTACCTGAAACTGTAAGCAAGCCCCCAACTAAATGTTTCCTATTATAATAGTTGTCATGGGCATTGTGTCACTTCACAGCAATAGAACAGTGAGTAAGAGAGATACCTACTCTGAAAAGTGACGTAAGACTTCTGGGACTCATACACACACACATACACACACATATCTAGATTTTGTGATGAGGCTCTCAAGCAGCTCATAAACTCTAAGTCAGACAGCTCCCAAATCAGGCAACAGTGGAGTCCTGTAGAGTTCTTTGAGTGCTCCAACAGATACAACATTGAACCATGCAGAAGAGTGAGGGGGAAGGAAAAGAAGGAAAAATTAGCTTAGAGTATGTTAGAGAAAACAGTATTTGGACAAGGCCTTTAGGTTAGGTATCTTTTACTGGTGGGTATGAAGGTGAAAGTGGGGAGTAAGGGCACTGTAGGTAGACTACAAGTAGGTAGATACTCCTTGAACAAAGATATAACATCTGCAGAAAGCAAAGTATGTTTTGGAGAAAGGGGTCAACCACTGTGGCCTCAAAAGCTAGAATAGGTCAACTCTGGATGGTCTTGAACAGAAGTAAAGGGACTTGGGTTCAAAACTTCATCTAAGAAGATCCTTGGAGACTACAAATATTGGTCTCGTACTTTGACATATGACTCTGAAAGTCTATGTGAGCAGTTAAGTTGAATAAACAGAATAAAAGGGGATCACAACAGAGACAGATCTGCTACTATGCTATGGTTCTTCATTCAGTAAAAGCTCCTCAGGCTTGCAATTCTGAAGAGTGGCTCTTTGCTGCCTCCCTGTCTCATCAAATGCTCCCCTCTTCTCACAGGACCATCTCAGACATATTCTAATCCATGAAGGTTTTGATGCAATTCCCTCTGTGAGCATCCTTAGCATGCTGTCTGGGAATTCCTAGTCCAGCCTTGGTCTTGTTATGTATACCATGCAGGGTTAGAACTCTTCAAAGACAGGGTTTGAGACTCACCCATTTTTATTGTTTTCCTAATGCTTGGCATGGGTTTTGGCACATGGAAAACTTTGGCAAATTAATTAGAGAAAGTGGATGAAGGGCAAGGAAGGATAAATGGGGGGTTGAGTGGGGAAGATTGGGTGCCATGTGTAACTTGGTAGTACTGTATGCTTATTATAAACAAAGCTCTGGGTTCAATCCCTAGCACACAAAAAGAAGAGAAATGGAGAGTGAAGGCTTGATGGGGATGAGTGACTGGATGGAAGGGAGTAAATACAATATTGGGACAAACAAGAGAAAGGATGAGAGGGAAATAATGGATGAAAGGAAAAAGAGTACAGGACCCCTTTCTCTTCCCTTCAATACAGCCATGCATTAGACCTAGCAGAGAAGGTCAAATTTGACACCAATCATATCCTGGTCCTGCCACTTATAACCATGTCCCTTTAGAAAGGGCATTTCACCTCTTTGACCTTATTATTTTACTAGGAAATGGTGAAAATTATAATGAGAAAAATAGTGTTATTGGGGGCTGGAGATATGGTTCAACAGGAAAGAGCACTGACTGCTCTTCCAGAGGACCCATGTTCAATTCCCAGCACCCACATAGCAGCTCACAACTATCTCTAACTCCAGCTCCAGGGGAGCTTACATCCATGGAAAAACATCAATGCACATAAAAACAGTATTACTGATGGGACAATGTAGTTGTGATAAAAAAATACTTGCAGTCCTCAGAGGGTTGCTTTGAGTTTGTAAGCCTTCTTAAGAGTAGATTTAGTCTTAATATTGGTTTTTCTATGCCTAAAACCTAGCATGGTATTAGGCACAGGACGTAGTCTCATGAACATTGTGACAGTGGTAACAGTAGTGGTAGAAGTTCTAATTCTAGAAACAAGAATGTGCAGCATTTTCTGTACTGAAAGGTTTGGCCTTCTACCTTCCTCAGTTTTCAGTTAGTGGCCTGTGGTGGAGATGTATAATAATTGATTTCTATGACATACCTTTAGTTGGTGTTCCTATCCAGTTGAGATATCGTGTGAGCTTCGTAGAGATGTAGGTCTTGCCTCGAGCCGGTAAACCCACCATGATCATCATTGTGGGGGAATTGGTGAACTGTGGTACAGATGCTGGAAGACAAACAGATCCTCAAAGGCTTATCCCTACACTTAGAGGCTCTTCTGCCATTTGCTTAGAGATGTAGAGTTGGAACCACACTACTTCCATCATTATGAGAAAAAAAGGGGGGTTAAAATGGGCATCACAACTTTTCTTAGACTCATCAGAAAATTAAGGCTCAAGTGTAGATAGCCAAATTAAACTTGTAAAAACAGGCATCAAGAGGGCAATAAGACTCTGTCATTTCTTAGTTGACACGGACAACGCTGAACAACATGCCAACTCATAAGAAGGTCCAGATAAAAATGACTAATGAATTGGTAAGCTGGTTGTGGGCCAATATGATGCTTATAAGGACTGCAGACAGATAGCTTTACATGTATTTCAATTTTCCTCCAGGTGCTGGCAGAGAAAATTGAGAAAAAATCCTGAGAAAAGTATTGTATAGTTCTGGCTTGGGAAGGAGAACAGAACAGTAACTATTGCTCATATTCTGCCCAGAAAATTTGCTCCATATTCCTGCAGGGAAAGCCTTGCTATTCCAAGAGAAAGGCAACAGAAATCGTAGCTTGAAAGCACTGGTGGGTAACTTACTGCACCTGGCAGCCAATTCCGATCAATCTACCCCTTCTCTCCTGGAACTCAGGCCAGACCAATTTACATTCTCTTACCTGGAGGGAAAACATTTCATTCTGCAGAAGGAGGAAAAACAAAAGTAAAGGGCACTGATGAAAACTCTCTGAAGTGGGAAGAAATACAGAAAATGTACCTGCTAATCAGGGCACTAGGCCTATTTATTACATTTGGAAGGCAAGAACACTTGTCACAGGCACACCACAAATACTCAAGGTAAGCCTGACAAGGGCCGAGACTTCATAATTTAGAACATCTTAGCTCCCCATTCTTCACTACCAAACTAAATAGCAGCAAAGAAAAAAGGCCAAATAACATATAAAGGAAGACCTACCCGACTTCTCCATGGAAACCCTGAAAGCCAGAAGGTCCTGGATAGATGTTCTACAAACTCTAAGGGACCATGGATGCCAGCCCAGACTACAATACCCAGCAAAGATTTCAATGATTATAGATGGAGAAAACAAGATATACCATGACAAAACCAGATTTAAACAATACATCTTCAAATCCAGCCCTAAAGAAAGTTCTGGAAGGAAAACTCCAACCCAACGAAGTCAACTACACTCACAAAAACATAGGCAATAGATAATTCTACTGTATCAAAAGACAAAAGAAAGAAAGGGGGAAATCAACACACAATACCACCACCACCACCACCAAACCCAAAACAAACTAGAATTAACAATCAATGGTCATTAATATCCCTCAATATCAATGGTTTTAACTTGTCTATAAAAAAACACAGGCTAACATAATGGATAAGAAGACAGAATCCATCCTGCTGCATAAAAGAAAAATACCTCAACTTCAAAGACAGAGGTTACTTCAGAGTTAAGGGTTGGGGTAAGATTTTCCAATCAAATGGACCCAAGAAACAAGCTGGTGTAGCAATCTTAATATGTAACAAATTAGACTTCAAACTAAAATCAATGAAAAGAGATGAAGAAGGTCATTTCATATTCATCACAGGAAATCAAGATGAAGTCTCAATTTTGAATATCTATGCCCCAAATACGAAGGCATCCACATTCATAAAAGAAACATTACTAAAACTCAAATCACACATAAAACCTCACACACTTATATTGGGAGACTTCAACACCCCACTCACACCACTAGATGGGACCACCAGAAAGAAACTTAACAAAATACCAAAGGAACTAACAGAAGTTTTGACTCAATTGATTTTAACAGATATCTATAGAACATTCCATCTAAACACAAAAGAATATAACTTCTCTAGAATTGTCCACATATTTGGCAATATAGTGAACCTCAACAGATACAAAAGATGGAATAACCCCCTGTATCTTATAGTTTAAAGTTAGAATTCAACAACAACACAACTGCAGAAAACCTACAAACTCATGGAAATTGAACAGTGCACAACTGCACCATTCCTGGGTCAAGGAAGAACTAAAGAAAGAAATTAAAGACTTCCTAGAATTCAATGAGAAAGAAGACACAACATACCCAAATTATGAGACACTATCAAAGAAGTGCTAAGAGGAAAGTTCTTAGCACTAAGTGCCCACATGAAGAAGAAACTGGAGAATAGCCACACTAGAAAATTAACAGCACAACTGAAAGCACTAGAACAAAAAGAAGCAAACTCACCCCGGAGGAGTAGATGCCAGGAAATAATCAAATTGAGGGCTGAAATCAATTAAGTAGAAACAGAGAAAACAATACAAAGAATCAATTAAACAAAGAGTTGGTTCTTCAAAAAAATCAGTAAGATAGACAAACCTTTATCCATATTAATCAAAAGACGGGGAGAATGCATTCAGATTAACAAAATCAGAAATGAAAAGTGGGACATAGCAACGGACACTGAGGAAATCCAGAGAATTTTCCGGTCATACTTTGAAAACCTATACTCCACAAAATTAAAAAATTTAAAGGAGTCTACCACAAGATCTAGCAATTCCACTCTAAGGCATATACCCAAAAGAAGCACATTCCTACAACAAGGACATCTGTTCAACTATGTTCATAGCAGCATTATTTGTGATAGCCAGAATCTGGAAAAAACCTAGATGCTCCTCAACTGAAGAATGGATAGAAAAAATGTGGTACATTTACACAATGGAGTACTACACCCTGGAAAAAAAGGCAATGGAATCTTGAAATTCGCAGGCAAATGGATGGAACTAATAGAAACCATTCTGAGTGAGGTAACCCAATCACAAAAAGACAGGCATTGTATGTACTCACTCATATGTGGATTTTAGACATAGAGTAAAGATTGCCAACCTGCAGCCCAGACTGCCGAAGTAAAGAAACAAGGAGGAACCTAAGAGAGACGTACAATGTCCCCCAGAGAAGGGGAAAGGGACAAGATCTCCTGAGAAAATTGGGAGCATGGGGGAAGGGGAGTGAATTAGGAGAATGAGAAGAGGAGAAGAGGAGGACATGATGGGGCAGGGAAGTTGAGTTGAGGGAAGAAGAGAAGAGAGCAAAGAGGGAGACATTATCAGTTCAGAGAGAAATCAGGCACTAGGGAAGTCTCTGGAGAGCTACAGAGATGACACACAACTAACAATCCAAACAACAGAGGAGAGGCTACCTTAAATGCTCTCTCCTGATAATAAGATTGATGACTAATTCATGTGCCATCATATAGCCTTCATCCAGCAGCTTGTGGAAGTAGAAGCAGACACCCACAGCTAAACCTTGAACTGTACTGAAATCCAGATGCACAGAAGGAGA